TTCCTGCAGGCAGCAAGCAACCAAGACCCCTCTGGGAGAGCTACCTTCTCCATACCAGCATGAGAAAACAGTCCTTATCACCAGAGACTTAGAATTGAAGGCTGCAATGGACCTGAATAAACACACTTAATGAAGTAACTCGTATCTTCCACCTGTTTTACACCCCCGCTCCCAATATATCTCCTAGTGACTTCCCTAGAAATGTTTACCACTCTAGCTAGATTTTCTTTGTCCTGTCACTTTTTCTCAAATTTATCACTCTTTGTCTAAGAAGTATAAAAGCATCTTGTTTTGGGCACTTCAGACTTCACTCTCTTGTAAAGATCCCCATATACACACAAAACTAATATAATTTGTAGCTTGTCTTTGTTAATCTGCCTAGTGTCAATCAGGTTTCCAGATCCCGCTGAAGAACCCACTGAGGACTAAAATGGGGGCTGGATGTGATCTCTGGCTGCCCTACACACTCATATGTGGGAGCCAAAAAAATTCATTTCATGGAGGTGGAGAGTAGGATGATAGATACCAGAGGCTGGAAAGGGTGTATGGGTAGGAGAGGGAGATAAAAGGAGGTTAGTGGATACAAACATGCAATGAAATGCAGAAATAAGTTCTTTTGTTCAATAACAGAGTAGGGTGACTGTAGTTAGCAATAACTTACTGTATATTTCAAAATAACAAGAAGAGTGGACTTGAAATGTTCCCAACACATAGAAATGATAAATGCTAAAGGTAATGCATACCTAATGCCCTGACTTGTTTATGATTCATTCTATGCATGTAACAAAACATCACACCCACCCCATAAATATGTACAAATAGTATCAATAAAAAATAAAAGAATGTTTCTTTAAAAAAACTCTTTACTTAGAAAAATACTTTCACTTTATTATTTCATTTTCTAAGGCAAGACTACACAGAGAATGAAGAAAGAGAAGCTGTGTGACTACAGTGATGATAACCACATTTAGTTTAAAAAACAACCCAAAGGTCTAAGTAATGCAGTTATGTTAATTAAAGGTAATAAAGCCTAAAGTTGCTAGATAAGAGTTTAAGGCTGGCAGAAGAACTCTAGGAGAGCTTGGTACTCTCTCTGTTTAAAGCAAGAGTAAGCTAATTAACTGAAAGCTTAGCTTTATCAACATCTTTAAATTTCACTTTGGTATTGGTTATAGAAGTTATCTCATGGGTTAGTATATACGTCTGCTTTGACTTCTAAGACAAAATAAGCTTTATGACAGGCTATAAGAAAGTTAGGCAAATAGCATTATAATAGGCACCTAAATCTGGCATAGTTATATTTTAAAATAATCATTTAAAAATATCTCATGGATATCCTCTTGGAGTAACTATGCTGGCTAAAGAGAAAATCTAGTATTTACATTCTTAGGAAAATTAAAGTTGGCTGCACTGAGCTGTATTAGTAAGTTCTCATAGCAGAAATAAAAATTTGATAGCTCAGCTACATGAACTAAGCATGTTTTGTGAAATAAATGCTACTTGAATTATAGGCAATAACTAAATTCACAAATGATCAATTTACAGAACCACTACTTCATATGAATGTTAACATCACTCACGTGCCTAACTAATTAGGCCTAGCAGTCTTTTCTGGCTCATGATTTATACAGCTGAAACAAAATGTTCTATTAAGCAAAAACTAACAATCAGTGATTTTAAGGAAAAAAAATCTTTTGATTCTATTCTTGTTATAAACTATTTCAGGAGAAGAAACCACAGAGGAAGGTCCGGCTTATCATCTGGAGTGCTTCAGTATCGAATCTAGCTTTGAATCTAAATTTGAAAATTGAGGATTGCTTACCACTATATGGTAAGCATTTCCTTGAAGGGACAAATTTCAGAATTTCTATAGGCAGATCAATTTTACCTCCTCCATAGAAAACCTTAAAACATTACATATTTTTAATATAGTTATTTTAATCTTTCCCTCCCATTTAAATCTTAAGCAGCATAGTCTGAATAAAAATACTCAGTTGCATGCCTCTACACTGCCCCTCTAGAGAAACAGTGCAAACTTAAACGTGTCTCATGGTCCTTGCCAATTCATGGTCAAGAAAAAAGATGAGGTTAACTTGCTCTGTGTCATCTCTCCTGAACTTGCTCTGTGTCATCTCTCCTGTTTGGGTAGCTGGACACAGAGGCGTGTAATGGAGTAATACCAGGGGATCAGCTGCCTAGCTCTGAAGAGTTCAATTATAGCTGATGTTGTGCTGATTTCTAGTGACCCAAGAGGCTAAACCACTGTCTTTCTGGTACTGAATTAGAGAATCTGCTAGCGTATATTGTCTACATAAGGGACGTGATTTTGTGTATTATATTAGTTAGCTTTGGTATATTAAGTTATTTCATTTTATTTAATTATTCTTCAGCTAAACATGCAGGGTAGAAACAAAGCTTAGAGTATGTAGGATAAATAATAATACTTTAAAGTTTATGCCATGTTTCTCATCTAAGAACCTGTGTAAGAATGATATTTTTAGTCAATCCTGTTATCTTTTTCAGCTATATAAAAGGCAGGATTACTTAGGCTGTTTCTTGAGATGGTAGGACATTAGTGTTTGTTTGGGTTTTTCCTGTTCTTTGGAAAAATTGCAATATTGCCTGATCCTTCAAAAGCCATTAGACTGTAAAATCTATGTGATTTAGATCTAAGAGATAATTAAGTCTAGAATCTTCCGTGGTATTAATAGTGTTTGACAAATTGCAGGGAATCAGTAAATGTTAGCTAGCTGTATGGTGGATGGATGGGCAGGAGAGAAGCAGATAGGAAGCAGACTCCTTGGAGTAGTCTTACCCTTCATGATGGTCATAGGGCAATATGTTAACAGCGTAAATCACAGTCAGAACAGCAAGGGAGTATAAGTACCAGTTCCATAATGAAAAGTCTCCATGTGGTCTCTGTGCAAATGTACTTAGGCAGAGCTTCCCTCCAACATACTATGACACATATTTGCCACAAAGAGATTACAGGTGTGCTGAAAATAGTGCCTTCCTCAGTCTTTAGGGTGGCAAGGAAAGGCCAGACACAGGAATCTGCAGCCAGGTACCCTTTTCATTTATCTCAGTAGGCTGGACCAATATTCTCATTTTTTTTGTGAGTGAAAAACATTGGGAAGAATGGGTCTAGAGTATTGGGATTACAGCCCTAGTGGGAAATGGATTGAAGAGAGAAGAGAGTAAAAACAGGAATATATCAGTGGCTACCAGAAGGGAACGTCCCTACTATTTTCTTTCTCAAATATTCTGGTCTTCAGTCCTATTTTTGTATACCCAATGTCCATTGTTTACCTAAAATAGTCGTTCAGTAAAGAAAGCTCTCTCTCTCTCTCAAGCCCTTATTTCTAAACAAAGCTTCCTTGTTGGATCCTGGGTAAAAATTTTAAAAATGATGAAGAACCATTTAGGGAGAGAATGAGTAAAATGTATTTGAAGGATGTGAAGAAAATAGATCCTTGGGGAGGTAGGAATTGATGACAAAGTCTCAAATCAGGAAACAGTAATAGGATCATTGAAGTTAGAAAACTGCAGAACAAATGAACTTCCCATATGACTTAATGAGACAGCACAAAGTGGTTTAGGAAAAGACTGTGCTTAGATACACAGCTTCTGCCTAAGGACTCAAATTACTTAATTAACAGAAGGAGCAAATAAGTATTTCTTCTTTTTTTCATCTGTCACAAATTGGTTGAACTTTCCCATTATGACTAATACAAAGTTGAATAAACACATTTGACCTAACTATTGAATGCTGGCAGGGTACTATCCAGTAAATGGCAGTTTGGGTACAAATCATCTATCATTATTTTTTATTTTATTTTAAATCTCATTTGGGCTAATATATTAGAGATGTGACTATAGAGTATAAATCTGGAACCCAGGAAGGAAAATAGTTTTTCAGAAAAGAAACAATAATAAAGGCAAATCTGCTCTCTTTCTTCAAGCTTCACTGAAAACACAGGACATGACTTTAAAGTCATTACTTCAAACTGGGAATTCATTAACAGCCTCCTCCCATTTGCCAACTGGAACTGGAAAACTGCAGGTTTTTTTTTTTTTTTTTTAATCATGGTTAGGTAGAGGATATTTTTAGAATTTTAAAATATTTTCTTCATCAACTCTAAAATTTAAATCAAGGTAAGGTCAAGGCATAACACAGAATCCTTAAAGCCCACATATCCAAATTTATTTTAAAAATACTCCCTGATATTCCATATGGTATTGAATAGCATGGGCTTTGGAGTCAGACACACTAAGGTTTGAATACTGGTTGTGCCATTTCTATGTGTGTCTATAGAGGCCATATACTTAAACTTTGAGAGCCCCGGTTTCCTCAACTGTAATATCTAAGATATAATATCTCTCCCTTTCGGGTGGTTTTGAGTATTGAGATAATATATGAAAAAGTGTCTGGCATGTGACAGGCATGCAGTAAATAGTGGCTCTTATTTCTTTAAAAAGGATTTAATGTTTAAGATACAACTTAAAGAGATGAAGATTTGTTATTTAATTCTGTATACATAATTATTAGACAATGATGATAATAACTTTGATTTACAATTAATAAGCTCTTATTCATCTTGTGTATCTTTGTTCCACTTCTTATTGCTCTTTATTTTGTCATGATGTCATTTTTCCTTGCTATGTAAGTCTGTAGAGAAATGATTCATTTAAAGATCTTCACATTTACCATTCTCTCAAAGAATAGAATTGGAGGTTGGGAATAAGAAACAAGAATTCTATATGAGTTAGTGATATACATAAAAATTAAAATAGAAAAGTGTGATTTTATAACTACAAATGATTATGAGTCATATTTCAATTAACGTAGGGCATTCATCTAATATAATGAAAATAGAAAAAAACCTGACAAGATCTAAGCAGAATTCTAGAAGGTATGATGCTATTTTTGTTGCACATTTTCCACTATTTATGAAGTAATTTGGGGAGGGTTAATGTACTTTTTCCCACAGATTACTTACTCTTTGTCCTTTAGGACCTTGACTCCCAGGTGGTCCTCTTGCCCCCACATGACCCTATATGTTGTAAATTTAAAAATCAGTTGTACAATTCACAAGAATACTATCAGAATAATAGCCATAATCTTTCTTATAACATATATCATTCTCCCAGGACATTCTTAAAATTGATTAGTCTTCCTTAAAAATATGCTTTAATCATACCGCCCTCTACCAATATTCTACTTTTGAAATATTCTACTCTTTGGACAAATTTAGTATCTGGGTGTTTACACCCTGAACAAAAAATGGAGAAGCCTTTAATATTCACTGACCAAGTTGTTTTCAGAAGGCACACATATGGAGTGATGGAAAAAGGAGATATCCATTCAGCTAGTCAGACCAGTCTATTCTGCCTGGCCCATCAAAAAAGCAATGGCTATCATGGTAATATTTCTTTACTATTATTCTAGACATTTATGATAATCCCATCACATAAAAAATAGTTTTTTTGTTATAAAAATGCCACAAAATGTTCCAAATTAATATGCTATAAAAATCGCCTGCAATGGAGATTAAGTTGCTATTTATTATTAAGTCAATTATAATGAATTATTTTTATAGCTACAGTCTTTAATCAAGACTCAGCTGGAAAACAAAATTTATCCGTTAACCTAAGGTAGATAAAAATGAAGTAAACTTTAGTACTTCAAATTTATTTATTATTTTATATGACTAAAGAGATCAGTAACTGTTCTTGAGACTAGTCTTCCTAAATTTAAAAGCCAACAACATATTTACAAATATACTAGAAAATCAGGCTTATTTTTAAAACAGAAGCTTCACAAATAATAAGTTTTTACTGATAAGAAAAGTTCTGCTCAGGGGATCCTACAGGCTGATCTTTTTCATATTTTAAGTTCACAATAGCTGTAAGATTCTGATAAGCAAAATTAATTTAGGGGAAACATTTCATTATCTTTTTGTAAACAAATGGAATATTTTCAATACCCCAATTTTTGTTTAATAAATATATTTTTATGAATTTTATCTGGTTGTGTGAAAATATTTACAAATTTCTAAGAAAAATATGTTAGAACTTACACTTATGATTTATTTATCCAATTGGTCTCACTTTTAATCTTACTAATCCTGTTTCCTTATATGTGGTTATTCAAAAGAAACTTCAAAGCATTTTAGCTTAGGTTGTAGGACTGAAATTGATTATATACCAAGTAGAGGTAAGGAAGTTCAAGATATCATGACAAATTCAAGAGTGTTTTGTATAGTTGGGAGAGAAGCAGTCTCCACTAGTTTACACGACTTACTTTGAATAAAAACCAACAATAAAGCGTAACAATTGATGAGTTTAAATTAAAATACACACTCTAGAAGGAATCATAAAGTCTTTCCTGTACTTACAGGTAATCCCAATGGACCAATAGGTCCTGGAACCCCAGGGGGACCTGGATATCCCTATAATTTAAGGAAAATATTTAAAAAGTAAAATACTTATTACTTTTAATTATTTTCATTGAAGACAAACCAGTAAATTATAAACAATAATAAAAAGGGATAATTTGACCAAGATATGAAAGGCCACAGTAAATGTTCTGCAGACAGACCATAGAAATAAAATATATATTTTATGTAGTTTTATTTACATAGGAACTATATATTCCATTTATTAGAAGGTTTTTGCCTAGACAAGAAAATTGCTAGCCAGAATCACATACTACAGCCTATTTATAAGAGAACATTCATTTCATTTTACTGAAGATCATGTTATCTTATCCATGGATATACGTTATGTTATATAGGTTATGAAACTATATCCTTTTCAGAGAGGTCCAGGAGCTCTCTAATTAAGGAATGTAAATGTGTACAAATATTCTAGCATTTCAAACTTTAGAAGGACCACACACTTTATGGTATTAACACTGATTCAGAAAATGCCTTAGGAGGTAATGATTCTTGAAGTTGATTAGTCTTATAGGCATGCTGAATTTCCTAGCTGACAGCAACTGGAAATAGCATAGCTAAAACAACCACAACTTATAGGACTTTTCTGATAATATAGAAGTTAGTTAAAATCAATTTGTGGACAGTATTATGTGCCACCAGATCCATTACAAGGTATTTTCTGTATGAAAGATCCTTTTATTGATAATAATCATTCACTCTAGTTCCTGCCATACTTAGAACACTATTTAGTAAGTTAAAAAGATGCAACTCAGATATCAAATTTGTCAACTATTTCCTATATTAAAAATGTAAGAGAATAAGATGAATTCTGGATTCAGAGCTCTCATATGCCAAAAAAACTACATCATGACCACAAACTCATGGAAGAATGGCAATGATGATACGCATCATATCAACTATAAGCTGTGGAAGAATAAGTAGAATTCTAATTTTAAAAGGTGAAAGATTTATACAATCTGAAGAGAAACCAGAGTATGCAAAATTCTAATTGAATTTTCTTCTTCATCCATTTTAGCAAATTGTGGTGGTTAAATTCCTCTCCTAAAACTAGAATCATTTGACTAAGCCATCTCATTTACATGCTTTTAAGTACCTTCATATCACATAGCATTCTGGGAGATAAACCATTTAAAAAGAAAATTCTATGGGAAATTTAACATTTTTTACTCAGTTAAATTCCAACCCAGCCAATTCCATCTCTGGAATGCCTTACTTTTATTACGTTCTTTGGAAACATATTTTTCAATCACTGAGCTCTTACCATAACACCCTTTTCCCCCTGGGGACCTAGTGGGCCTGGACTTCCACGTTCTCCCTTTTAAGAGAACAAAGAAAAAAAAGTAACATACAGATTAGTCATGACTGAGCTAAGCCTAGAAAGAAAAACTGTCAGCCAGAATCATGTCTTACATGCATACCTCATTCTTATTTCCAATAATTTTTAAATTTACAAATTTGGCACTTTTATCTTAAAATGGTTAGACTTTTAATAAAATTATCTTAAGACATTTTTCGGAGAAAAATAAGGCCTTATTAAAATGAAGAATATAGAAATTATGGATAAACAAGACCTAAAAGTGAGCATGTATCATATGTAAAATTTTTGTAAGAAATGCTTACTATTTTATGAGACATACAAAATATGAGAATAGTAAAAGTATCAAAGCATATTAAAATTTAACAAATAAGTGTAACCATTTAAGAAAATTTTATTTTATAGTCTGCCTACCACAATTAAGTGCCATAAGAAATAATTCTGGAAGATCATGTCATAGCAGCTTAAAAAGACCAAACTTATTCACATTAAAATTCTCAAGAGTATCAAAATTTTAGCATAGAAGATTTAACTCAGCACAGAAATAACTGAGTGAAAAAAAATTGTAACGCTAATTTTTTAAACTGCGCTCATATTTTGTTACATTGCTAGTAAAAAAATCAATAAATATATATTATGTAGTACTTAAGTAATTGAGAATGTAGTACATGAGAGTTAGAAGAGATATTTAAAAAACTTAACTTAGATTCTACCCTCAGTAACTGCAGACATGGTATTAACAGAGATGAAACAACCAGAGAGTAAGTAAATTTTAGACTATGTGGTACTATTCTAAGTACAGGAAGTGAAGAAATTAGGATGAGAGGAGTCTGTGGACTTCACAGAGGAGATGGGAATTCAGCTGAGTCCAACAGTTTGGTTTTGAAAAAACAGAGGGAAGAAGAGAGGATATTTTAGTTCAAGAAAATAGTAAGGATGGGAATAGGAATAAGAACCAAGCACAAGATGGGGAGAGAGAAAGGTAAAATGGTAACTTATTCTTCTTTTTCAAAAACTGCTTTCTCTGAAGCCTCTCATAGGAGGCCTGCTCTCATGAAGTCGATTTAGATAATATTTTCTAGTCAGAAATCTAGACTGTTCTATCTTTTCTCTTCAGATCACATCTTTATAATCAAAAGGGTACTCTGCCCTGTAAAAATTAGAAACCTATGTGCTATTAGCTATATTTCAATATATTTAAGAGATTCAGTAAAGGGAATGTGCTAAAGTTATAAGTGATTTCTAATTAACATAAAAGATCATACGAAAGTCTGTCCTTTGAGTTTAGCCTAGAATTCGTCCTATAAAACAAAATAATTTAAAAAATTACCTTTTCGCCAATGCTTCCAGTTGTCCCAACTTCTCCAGGTAAGCCAACAGGTCCCTTTTAGGAAAAAAAAAAATAACAGTAAATACACACATATTGCATTGCTATTGTAGTACCTGGGTCTTAAATCACCTGTAATCACTATGTTTCTTTCTAACTTATCCTAAATGTTATCTTGGAGTAAAATCCCTCCCTGTATAGCTATGCAGTCTGTGACTTCATATCAGAATTAATTTATTCAGTCAATCAACAAAAATATATCCATGCCTAAAATATAACAGGCACAATGCTGGGAGGCAATGAGTTTCAAATCCACAGTTGCTGTCCATGTGGAACTGACAGTCTACCAGATTTTATAAAATCCCTGAAGTTTTCATACCTGTTTGATGTAGATATATTAGTTTAAGAAATCATTTCTGCAACTACCTTCTTTGAAAACCCCTCAATATACGAGGGGACAGAACATGCCTATCATTCATTCATCCTCTCAAGAAATATTTGGTGCCTACTCTGTGCCAGGCACCATGATGGTGGCTAAGATTTCATTAGTGAGGAAGACAAATCTAGGCCCTGCCCTTATGAGGCAAAAAGTCTTGTAACAGGGAGACAAAAGCAGCTAAATTAAAAGTTAAATTATTATAAATTCTGACCTAAGCTCATAAAGGAAACAATAATATTGCTGAAGAGGAAAATAAAAGAGAAGACCTATTCTAGCACAGACGGTCAGGGAAGACTGAGGCCTGACATTTAAAATGAAATCTGAGTAATAATAAGAGGCCAGCCAGCAAACAAAGAAGGGAGGACGAATATTCTAGGTAGAGTAAATAGCTTGAGTAAAGAATGAATTTGATTTGCTAGAAGAAGTTAAAGAAGGTAATCAGTTACACCACTTCAGAGTGAACACGTCCCAGGGTTTTTCTATCTTTGTCTTTACGGATTCTCGATTATTTCTCCTTCAAATAGTATAGAAAGCAAAATGAGTAACACAGAACAAGCTTGACAAGAACATAATCTCTTTCCTGACTGTCTTAAATCATAAGCAGTTACTTTCTGCTTTTATTTAAAGACATCTGAAACATTTTTTTCAATAGCTACCATACAAAGACCTTGCTTAGATAGATTCTCATACAATAATATATATTAGCACACAGAAAGCACTGACTCATGAAAAATGACTTGTCGTTTATCTAGTGCATTCAGCATGATTTTACCCTTACAGATATCTATCTATCTATCTATCTATCTATCTATCTATCTATCTATCTATCTATCTATCTATCCATCCATCCATCTATCTAATGATCCCAAGTACAATAACATATATTAAGTGTTTTCTATGTGCCTCATTTAATCTTCGCAACCACCAGACAGAGTAGCATTATTATGATTCCCCTTTGACAGATGAGGCAGATGAATTAAGCAGTTTGCTGAGGCAGATGAGGTTAAATGGTATGGATGAGTTTAAGTGGCTACTGAGCACTTGAAATGTGGCTAGTGCAAATTGACACATACTGTAAATGTAAAAGACACCAGATTTTGAAGACTTATCATAGAAATAATGCAACATAGCTAACTAATGATTGCTTACATCAATTACATATTAAAATGATAATGATTTGATATATTAGTATAAATGAAATATTACTAAAATCAGTTCACCTCTTTCTTTTTATCGTTTTTAAGGTGGCTACTAGAAAATTTAAAATCATATATGTGGCTTACAATTTTGACTTGCATTACATGTCTATTGGACAGCACTGATGTATACTCTTAGGCACTATGCTAGTATTATTGCTTAAATCTAGTTGGAAGTGATTTAACTTGTTTCTGTGGTTTTTAAGTGTAAGAGACTGAACACTTTTATTCTGAGACAATCTGTGATCAATGTTCATGCCCATGGAATTCACTGGTCTCGCTGTGTTCTCCATCATTCTGAGACAGCTGGTTTGATAAAATGGTGAAATGACATTTTTAAGACTCAGTTCCAAGGCCAGCTAGGTGACAATACCTTGCAGGGCTGGGACAAGGCTTTCCAGAAGGCTGTATATGCTCTGAATCAGTGTCCAATATATGGTGCTGTTTCTCCTATAACTAGGATTTTGGGGGCCAGGAATCAAGGGGTGGAAATGGGAATGGTACTACTCACTATTACCCCTAGTCATCCACTAGAAGATTTTTTGTTTCTGCTCATGCTCTGCTGGACTAGAGGTCTGTTCCAGAAGGAGGAATGCTTCCACCAGGACACACAACAATGATTCACTGAACTAGAAGTTAAGACTGCCATCCAGCCACTTTGGGTTTCTTATGCTCCTGAATCAACAGGCAAAGAAGGGAGTTACTGTGTTGGCTATGTTGCTTGATTCTGCCTCCCACAGGGAAACTGGACTACTAAATACAGGAGATCCCTTAGGGTACTTCTTAATATCACCATGCTCTGTGATTAAGGTCAATGGAAAATTCGAACAACCTAGTTCAGGCTGGACTACTAGTGGCCCAAATTCTTTAGGAATGAAGGTCTGGGTCACCCCATGTCTTAGTCCATTCAGGCTACTGTAACAAAAATACTGCAGGCTGGGTGACTTTAACAACAAACATTTATTTCCCACAGTGTTGGAGGCTTAGAAGCCTAAGATCAATGCACCAGTAGATTCAGTGTCTGGTGAGGGCCTGTTTCCTGGTTCATAGATGGTAGAGCCCTCATGACCTAATCACCTCCCAAGGTCTACACCTCTTTATACCTCACATTGGTCATTAGAATTTCAACATATGAATTTTGCAGAGGATAAAAACATTCAGTTCATAATACCCCACCAGCTACAGATCCCAACTAGCTGAGGTGCTTGCTGATGGCAAAGGGAATAAAGAATGGGTAGTGGAGAAGGTAGTTTTAAATAACAGGTATGGCCATGTGACCAGTTACAGAAATGAAGACTATAATTGTCGTATTTCATTATTATTTTGTCGTGAATGTGTGTGTGTGTGTGTGCGCGCGCGTGTGTGCAGCGATTATCTTTGGTTCTTTTCTTCTCATTTCTTTTTTTCTTTTCTTTCTTTCTTTTTTTTTTTTTTTGAGACCGAGTCTTGCTCTTTCACTCAGGCTGGAGTGCAATGGCACAATCCTGGCTCACAGCAACCTCCGTCTCCTGGCTTCAAGCGATTCTCCTGCCTCCAAGCGATTCTCCTGCCTCAGCCTCCTGAATGGCTGGGATTACAGGTGTGCACCACCATGCCCAACTAAATTTTGTATTTTCAGTAGATACAAGGTTTCACCATTTTGGACAGGCTGGTCTTGAACTCTTGACCTCAAGTGATCTGCCCACCTCAGCCTCCCAAAGTATTGGAATTACAGGTGTAAGCCACCGTTCCTGGCCTCTCATTTCTTTATCACATAACATAAGATGTATTGACCTTATAACATAGTATCTAGGTATGGTTAATTTTAGATCACAGTATTTAAGTTACAGGTTATAAAGGAGAAGAGTAAACGTCACTCAAGGACTTTACATCCTCTTTTGGAAAAGAGGTTAGCGAGTTTTTGGTTACTTGCGGGATAATGATACCATGTTAGGCAGAATTATGATCTTGTTATTGTCTTTATTTGAAAGTTAAATATGGTTTAAAGAGATGCATTTGGGGGTCAACTTGACAATAGGGAGGGCTGTCATGATTAATTTTATGTGTTGAGGTCACTGGGTCACGGAGTGCTCAGATATTTGGCTAAACACTATTCCTGAGTGTGTGTTGTTTTTAGGTGAGATTAGCATTTAAATAGGTAAACTGACTAAAGCAGATTGCCTTCCCCAGTGTGGGTAGGCATTGTCCAATCTGTTGAGGATCTGAATAAAACAAAAAGGCAAAGGAAAGGAAACTTTTCTTTCCGTCTGACTGCTTAAGCTGGGACATCAGTCTTCTCCTGTCTTTGAACTAGAACAGCCTTGGCTCCTAGTTCTCAAGCCTTTGGACTTGGAATAGAATTTAAATAATCAGTGCTCTAGGTCTCAGGCCTGTGGACTCTGATAGAACCTGTACTGTCAATTCTTCTGGTTCTCAGGCCTTTGAACTTGGACTGGAACTATAGTGGATTTCTAGGATCTCCTGTTCGCAGATGGAAGATTGTGGGATTTTTTTTTTTTTTTTAGCCCCCACAATCACGTTAGCCAATTCTTTACAAGAAATCAATCTATCCATATCTATATCTTGTTGGTTCTGTTTCTCTGGAAAACCCTAACTAATACTGCCAATCAAATCTGAGTAGGAAAAATGAAATAGA